GGCCCCCATTCACTGGTTATTCTGTGATTGTGTTAAATAAGTTCTGCAGCAGAGACGAGATGGGCGTTATGCGCCTTTGCACGGCAGACGGTCGTCTGCAAGTCTGGTGCGGTTCGGCTAGGAAATCGTTCGACAGAGTCACAGGGTACATCACGCAAGCCTACCTCGCAGGGTCATCGTGGTGTATTGTAATGCCTGCCTTTCCGCATATGAGGGTGTGTGAAGTGCCACCAAGTCGCAGCCAACTTATGGCCACCCCAGCCAGGGGCTTCCAAGGCAAGGGAGGAGCAGAGCTGGCCTGCCCTGGCCTTCCTCTGTAGAGCCTATCTTGGCGGTCTCCTTTCCAAGCACTGACTCTCCTTGGCTTCCAATTTATGGCCACCCCAGCCAGGGGCTTCCAAGGCAAGGGAGGAGCAGAGGTGGTCTACCATGGCCTTCCTCTGCAGAGCCATCCTTGGTGGTCTCCCTTCCAAGCACCAACCCTGCTTAGCTTCCAACTTATGGCCACCCCAGCCAGGGGCTTCCAAGGCAAGGGAGGAGCAGAGGTGGTCTGCCATGGCCTTCCTCTGCAGAGCCTTCCAAGTACCAACCCTGCTTAGCTTCCAACTTATGGCCACCCCAGCCAGGGGCTTCCAAGGCAAGGGAGGAGCAGAGGTGGTCTGCCATGGCCTTCCTCTGCAGAGCCTTCCTTGGTGGTCTCCCTTCCAAGCACCGACCCTGCTTAGCTTCCAAGAGTTGATGAAATCGGGCTATCCCATGCCGTCTTGCCTCTCGCCTTTCCACATGGCTCTGAGTGAAGTTTTTATAGAATATATATGAACATCCACAACATCTGTATCTTACAAGCCTGGAGTAAAGCACGAAAGAGGAGCAGCGGAAGAGAAACGTGCTCAGTCCCCTGTTGATACCGTCTTCCATGTTAAGGGTGGGGGTGTCTGAGCAGCACATTTTGTTACTGGCTCAAGGCTTATTATGAATCTCGGTTTTGCTGACGCAGCATCGCAAGAATGAATTCATTTCCCTTTTTTCTGGCTCTTGAGAGTTTTCCAAGCCGTTCTCTCCAAATAACTCCCAGAACAAAGGAAAGGCAAAATCCTGAATCGCAGTGTCCTTTCCTTCTTTTGAAACCTAACCGGGAGAACTTTCATGCCAGTGCGAATCCTGAGAAGCACAGCTCTCCGTGGGAAGCGACGGCCCTCCAGGAGAAACGGAGACTCCATTTGCCGTATTCGCTTACTTAGGATTGGGGCCTTAGAGATGAGGCGAGGTTTGGTGCTTTCCTTTTGCTGTGTGTCGGGACATGTCGCTGCCAACACCTTTTTAAGAGGAGGATGTGGCCAGTTAAAAACCACTGCAAGGGTCCTGTCCAGTATTCCCTCTAAGCTGAGTTAGTGTGAGCTAGCTCACCATTTTTTACCCTCTGGCTCACGCATTTGCGTCTTAGCTCAGGAAGGACGGCTCCAGAGCAAACTAATTCATGCAGGAGCCAAATCGCCCACTCACAACTTTAATGCTGGTAGCTCACAAAGTAGAATTTTTGCTCACAAGACTCCACAGCTTAGAGGAAGCATTGGTCCTATCTGGATTGAACCCTCACAGCAGTTTTTAAATGTCTACACCAGGGGTGTCAGACATGTAGCCCAGGGCCTCAATCAGGCCCCCAGAGGGCTTCTATCAGGCCTGCAGTGGAACTGGCTGTCTTCTGCTGCTTCTTCCAGTTCCGCTGCTGCCGCGTCATTGTAGGTTCTCAGCTTACAGATACACACCTGAACAGCATACTCAAGACTGCAACAGCACAGACATTTTGATGCAGTAATTCAGAGCAAGAGGTGTCAGTTATCAGACGCCGTTAAATAAACAAAATATTGCAAGAGAGCTGATGTTTTAAACATGTTTTTAAGTAAAAAAAAACCTTTTGTTTGTGTCCTTTATAAAGTTTATATCTCCGCTACCTAGGGCTGCCAAGCCGCGGCGGGGGATCTGCACGTCTTCCCAGGATCCCTGCCGCGGGGGACAGCGATACACGTTGCACCGCCGTTGCCAGGATGTGACGCTACGCGTCCCGTTGCCAGAGCGACGCGTAGCGTCACATCCTGGCGACGGCAGTGCAATGCGTATCGCTGTCCCCCGCGGCAGGGATCCTGGGAAGACGTGCGGATCCCCCGCCGCGGCTTGGCAGCCCTACCGCTACCTGGCATTACATTTTGTGAGGGTAAGCTAACAACTATATTATATAAAAAATACAAATGTTTATTAGGGTGTACACATAGCTAAAACATACTGCGGTTAAAAGAAATTGTCTAAGTCTCAGACTTAAAAGGCTTATACAACCAAGTTACTGAGGAAGGCCCGAAGGGACCGAAACGCATATGGTCCTTAGGTCAAAACGTTTTACCCATCAATTGTATTTGTATCAATTGTATTTGTATAATAACTAACTTGGTTGTATAAGGCTTTTAAGTCTGAGACTTAGAATGATAAGGGGTTTTTGTAATTTCAAATAGAATTTTGTGTGTATTTCTTCATTACAGTGTTTTTCAGATTTAGTATATTATGCTCACTGCATAGCCACTTTTTGTTATACAACCATAATCTCTAGATTGGCTATTTGGGCTGGGTTGATTACAGGGCTACTGTCTGCCTTCAGTGAATCTCTAATGCACCATTTTCCTGATTTGGTCAGGAGAAAAAGAGGACTTGTAATTAGTTTAAACCAGGGGTCCCTAGCCTTCTTGAGCGTGTGGCCACCTTCGGGATTCTGACAGAGAGCAGTGGGCTCAACCACAAAATGGCTGCCCCGGAAGACGGAGCTACATGCACAGAGGCACGAAGAGTAATCTTCAGAAAATACCCTGGGAAAGAAGAGCATGAAAGGGAACAACACCAACACTGTAGTGGCAACGTCTGCTGAAACAGCGTTATTATTTTAATCTGCACAGACAATCAGATCTCCAGTGGCCAATCAGAAGCCCTGCTAGGCAAAAGCCCCACTTGGCCCCACCCACTTCCTAAGGACACTTGGCAGGCACCAGGAAAGGTGTCGGCAGGCACCACATTGGCGGACCCCTGACTTAAATAAATAAATGTGAAATGGATAAATACAAGACAGTGCTAGAGTGTTCAAAACACTTTATGTGTGTTATCGTGCAGTCCTGACCACAGTGCCGTCGGGCAAAGTTCCGAAGAGGAGAGACGTGACTGATGCCCTCTTGTGACTTCTTAGCAATGGAGAGATTCGAACTGGAGTCTTCTTACTGTACAGCTCCTCGCAGGGGTCATTTCGTAGAAAAAGAGGTGCAGGAGCTCATTAGCATAGCTCATTTGCATAGGCCACACCCCCTGACATTACTGGAAGTGTGTCAGAAGGCAACACCCGCCGTTCAGGCGCCACTGGACTGTTTTGGATTGCTAGCGATTGGGGGGGGGGGGACGGGCAAACGCGCCCCCCCACGGGG